CCAGGGGCCCGGCGGGGGGTCCTCAAATTAGGACACCTCGGCTATGTTAAATTTTTAAAACGATCCTATTTCTTCATTTGAGTTCCGATTTAAAAAAAATTTCGTATATAGAATCTCCTCATCGAGCACTATAAAAAATGTCGTCGTAGCAGTAAATTATCTCTTATAGTTTAGGAGATATTCGCATTTGAATATTAAAATTTTAAAATTTTTACCGTCCTTACTTTAGTTTTTTTGATAATAGCAGGTCCAAATATTTCCGATTTTCGCCGTTTTTTTTTATTTGCTTAACAACAAGTTTATATACCAAGCAGTGAAAGAATTATGTAAAAATCATGACTGAGTCCAAAGTTATAGGCATTTAAATTTAAAAAATTAAAAAAAGGCGATTTTTTGTCATTTTTTTGGGAAAAAAGTATCTTTTTCTTTTTAAGTTATCTAAAAAGTTTCTAAGAAGATGTATATAGAATTTATACTTTTTGGAAAGCTGACTTTACATAAAATACGATAAATGAAACAAAACCTAAAAATTTTTGATACCGAGGGGACCAGGTCCATCCAAAAAAACCCTATTTTTTATGGAAAATTAAATTTTGAGCAAAAATTCTCAAATCGCATAGTCGATATCAAATTATAGTGACCTGTTTTATATGACCCAATAAGTTCTTAATCATTTTGTAACGGGTTTCGATAACCCCGCCCCTGGTATGGATATAATAGGCAAAAAACCAAAAAATCCCATTTTTGGGATTTTTTAAAACTTTTTTGGGAATTCCGGGATTTCTAATAAGAAAATTCGAAATTTTTATTTAATTTTGGATTTTGAGTAAAAAAATCTACCTAACTGTAAAATTTCATCAAAAAATATTCATAAATAAAATTTTTATTGCAATTAGAAAAATTTGTATCTTCGCAAAAACTGAATAAAAAACATTTTTTAATTTTTTTTAAAAAAAGTATTCCGCGAATTTTTTAATTTTCAAAAATTATATACAGTTTTGAAAAATAGACAAAATTACCTTTCCATTGATATATAACATGCCTACCTAATGTTTTTTAAGTGACAAATTAATTAGGGAAAACTCAACATCTTTTAGAAAATTTACCTAGCACTATTATTTTCATCCATATATGTAACAAATTTAAGAGTTAACCTTATGGATGAAAATAATAGTGCTAGGCAAATTTTCTAAAAGATGTTGAGTTTTCCCTAATTAATTTGTCACTTAAAAACATTAGGTAGGCATGTTATATATCAATGGAAAGGTAATTTTGTCTATTTTTCAAAACTGTATATAATTTTTGAAAATTAAAAAATTCGCGGAATACTTTTTTTAAAAAAAATTAAAAAATGTTTTTTATTCAGTTTTTGCGAAGATACAAATTTTTCTAATTGCAATAAAAATTTTATTTATGAATATTTTTTGATGAAATTTTACAGTTAGGTAGATTTTTTTACTTAAAATCCAAAATTAAATCAAAATTTCGAATTTTCTTATTAGAAATCCCGGAATTCCCAAAAAAGTTTTAAAAAATCCCAAAAATGGGATTTTTTAGTTTTTTGCCTATTATATCCATACCAGGGGCGGGGTTATCGAAACCCGTTACAAAATGATTAAGAACATATTGGGTCATATAAAACAGGTCACTATAATTTGATATCGACTATGCGATTTGAGAATTTTTGCTCAAAATTTAATTTTCCATAAAAAATAGGGTTTTTTTGGATGGACCTGGTCCCCTCGGTATCAAAAATTTTTAGGTTTTGTTTCATTTATCGTACTTTATGTAAAGCCAGCTTTCCAAAAAGTATAAATTCTATATACATCTTCTTAGAAACTTTTTAGATAACTTAAAAAGAAAAAGATACTTTTTTCCCAAAAAAATGACAAAAAATCGCCTTTTTTTAATTTTTTAAATTAAAATGCCTATAACTTTGGACTCAGTCATGATTTTTACATAATTCTTTCACTGCTTGATATATAAACTTGTTGTTAAGCGAATAAAACAAAATGGCGAAAATCGGGAATATTTGGACCTGCTATTATCAAAAAAAACTAAAGTAAGGACGGTAAAAATTTTAAAATTTTAATTTTCAAATGCGAATATCTCCTAAACTATAAGAGATAATTTACTGCTATGACAACATTTTTTATAGTGCTCGATGAGGAGATTCTATATACGAAATTTTTTTTAAATCGGAACTCAAATGAAGAAATAGGATCGTTTTAAAAATTTAACATAGCCGAGGTGTCCTAATTTAATGACCCCCCGCCGGGCCCCTGGTTGGCCTATAAGGTCCAAATTCAAAACCTAAACTCGACAACACCTCCTCTTTGTGCACACCAAATTTCATTAAAATCGGATTAACCGTTTAGAAGTTACCGAATTATTTCCCTCTTTTTTTTTTCCTATACCACTGTGTATCGTTTGAGTATTGTGGTGAGAATCACAGAAAAAAATTTTATTGTATGTATAGTTATGTATGTATATTTGAAACGAAAACAACCAAAAAATGTTTCAAAGTAATGAAATACCAGTCAGCCAGGCAGCCAAACAGTCAGTCATTCATTCATTCATTCAGTTAGCCAAAATATAATGAAATGAAAACAAATAACAACAACAATAATAGCAATGAGAACTATAACACAACAGCAGCAGCAACAGCAACAATGTGAACATGAAGAAACTTATCAACAGCATAAAATGTATAAAAATGTGTGAACAATGTGTGTGCGTGTGTGTGTTTATAATTTTGCAGAGCTTTAAAGGTATTTAATGGTTGAAAGGATTTTTAAAAATATGAATTTATATAATAGGATTGTATATGAATTTAAGTCTATGACTTTTAAAAGCATATATACAGAAATACATATGTCATTACAGAAATAAATATGTTTATTGAAGAAAATGCTGCTATTTAATACCAGCATATGTATGTATTTTTTTGAATACCACGTTTGCCACAATTTCGCTACTATTCCAATAGACTATTCCACAGACTAGTTAATAGTCAACAAAAAATTCCATAGACTATTCAATGAGTCAGTCTATAGACTAGTCAATTGACTAGTCCATATATTAGACAAGGGACTAGTCCACGAATTAATCAATGGAATAGACCAAAGCCTAGTCAATATGCTAGTCTATAGACTAGTAAATTAGCTAGTCCATAGACTAGACAATGTGCTAGTCAATATACTAGTCAATGGGATAGACCATAGCATAGTTAATTTTATAGTCCATAGATTAATCAATGGGATAGGCCATAGACTAATCAATGGGCTAGTCCATAGACTAGTCATTGGACTAGTCTATAGACTAGTAATGGGCTAGTCCATAGACTAATCAATGGGCTAAGCCCATAGACTAGTCAATCGGCGAGTTAATAGACTAGTCATTCAGCGAGTCCATGGACTTGTCAATCGGCTAGTCCATATACTACTCAATCAGCTAGTTCATAAAGTATTGAATGGTCATATCCATTGACTAGACAATCGGCGAATCCATAGATTAGTCAATGTTATAGACCATAGCCTAGTTAATATGATAGTTCATAGACATATCAATGGGCTAGTTCATAGACTAGTCAACGGGCTAGTTCATAGACATACTAATGGGCTTGTTCATAGACTAATAATTGGGTTAGTCCATAGACTAGTCAATGGGTTGTCCATAGACAAGTCAATGGATAGTCCATAGGCTAGTCAATGGGCTAGTCCATAGACTGGTTAATGGGCTAGTTCATAGACCAGTCAATAGGCTAGTCCATAGATTAGTCAATGCGCAAGTCTATAGACTATTCAATGGGCTAGCCCATAGACTATTCATTGAGCTAACCCATAAACTAGTTAATGTTCTAGTCCATAAAATAGTCAATGAGCTAGTTCATAGACTAGTCAATAAAGTAGTCATTGGTCAAGTCCATAGACTAGTCAATGGTCAAGTCCATAGACTAGTCAATGGTCAAGTCCATAGACTAGTCAATGGTCATGTCCATAGACTATTCAATCAGCTTGTCAATAAAGTAGTCAATGGTCAAATCCATAGACTAATCAATGGGCTAGTCCATAGGCTAATCAATGGGGTAGTCCATGTACTATTCAAAAAAGTTATTAATGGTCAATAAATAACTCCTTAGATTAGTCCATAGAATAGTCAATGAGGTAGTCCATAGACTAGTTAGTAGCCTAGTTCTGGGCTAGTACATGGACTAGTAAGTGGTCTTGTGTATAGACTAGTCTATAGAGCAGTCAATGGCCTAGTCCATAGACTAATCAATGGGCTAGTCCATAGGCTAACCAATAGGCTAGTCCATTGGCTAATCAATGATCTAGTCCATAGGCCAAGTAGGAAGTTAGACGATATTAATTATATAATTTCAATGGAATTCAAAATGGCGGCCTTTTTAATCAACCGAATATAAAAAGCTATGCTGCTACACATACACGTATACAAATATATATTATTGTATATTATTGTAATTCCTTTAAAACTCTGCCTATAATATTTAGCAGCATCAGCGTTAACAGCTTTGGCAACAACAAGAGCAGCCACTATAACAACAACGTTAGCGTTTTTAAAACAAAATGTATTTTAAAACAATTTGATTAAGAATTTAATGCCATGAAAATGTTTGTTTTTTGTTTATTTGAAAACGGAACAAAAAAATAAGTCTTAAACGAGAAAATGAGAGAAAAATTGTTGTTTGGGTAATAAAAACATGAATAAATTTTTAAACGTTTTTTGAAAACCAATTTTAGAAAATGAGAAAATTAATTTGATTTTTGAAGGTTCTGTGTTTTTTTTTCAAAATATTTTCAATGAAATTTTTTTGTTGTTGATTAAAGCTTTAAATGCATAAAAAAGTTGTTAACAACAAATACAAGTTTCTTTTATTTTACTTGTATATTTAAAATTTTAAAATTTGTGGAGTGAAAGAAGAAGAGTTAGAATGAGAAAAAAAAAAAAAAACAACAAAAACATTAAAAAAAACTTACAGTTATAACAATTCTATTCTTAGCACTTGTTTTAATAAGTTTACGGCGTTGGTTGGTGTTGGTTTTGAGTTTGGTTTTATTAACGGTAGAAATAGACGAAGTAGAAGAAGCAGTTGTTCTTGCTGTAGTTGTAGTAGTAGTAGTAGTGATGGTGGTTTGTATGTTTTTAGCATTTCCGTTATCCGGCTGCCAGTTTATATTTTAAACATTAAATTTTTTTTGTTTAGTTTTGTTTTTGGTATTAAATATATTTATATACAAAAAGATATATAAAACCATACATTTGTATATATACAAAATTTATATAAATTACAGAGAGATATAGGTGAAGGTTTATTGTTTTGTTAGTAGCAAAGGATGTTGTTTTAGCAATAGTAGTAGTAGTGGTTGGTTGTTTATAAAGGCATTTGTTGTAGTAGTAAAGTATTATAGTTGTTATTTTAAAAACCGTCATATACACACACATACAAATATAAACAATTGAATTTTATTACATTTTATTTTGTTGAAACGTAACCATTGTATTGTTCAATTGTTGGTTTCAGTTGTTTGTTTAGTTCGTGGGTTGGTTTATTTGTTTTTTTAAGGATTTTTATGTCAAGGTGTTGTTTATTGGTTTTGTAGCAAAAATTTAACGAAATTTTCATTTGGCAGTTTATTTATTTTAATGTTTCATTTTCAAGTAAAATTAATTGGTTTTCATTTTAGAATTTCAAGTAAAAGCACAAAAAAGAAATAGAAGAAAAAAACAAATATAAGAAAAAATAGAATACAAGAATTAGAATTTTTCATTAAAAAAATTTGATGAAATGAAAACGATTATTTGGTATTTTTCGAAAATAAATTAAAAAAATTATTAAAATATTTTGGTTTTATTGTCTTTTTTTGTTCTGGGAGCGTATTCACTATCTAAAGATGTTTTTGAATGTAAAGAATTTTGTTTAAATTTGATACGAATGTTTGGTTACACACCGATTTATGGTTCTAAAGATTATGAATACTAATATTAGTAATTTTATTGTTATTTAAACCAAATAAAATGTTAACAGCTAAGATAGCTTAAATTGAATTAAATAATTTTTTATAATTTTAAATCATATAAAAACGGAATAGGATCGCATATCAGCAACATATTTTAAAGAGTTATTGTTGTAAATAAGATAAATTCTAACAAAAAAAAAAAAACGAGTAAGAATTTGTAGTCGGACATGGCCGACCATATGATACCCTACACCAGTGTTTATGTTGACAAAAGAGGGATTTTCTAAAAGGGGGTTAAATGGGGGATGGGGTTAATATGGTCCCATCCTTATCAATTTTGGTAGAGGAATTTGCGTCTACATTAATTATTTATGCAGAATATCATCGTGATATTAGAGTTTATAAATTATTTTCTGAAGGGGACTTTGTATGGGCGATAGGATCAAATGAGGCCCGATCATTACGGAAATCAGTATCATTAAGACTTATATAAATTTTTTTTTCGGTTTTTAAAGTGATACAAGATTATTTAACATATTTATGAGCTCAAAAGCCCTATTCGGGAGTTACGGTTGTATGGAGGCTATTCGAATTAGTGGACCGATTTTAACAATTTTCAATAGGCTTGAGTCAAAAGAAGAGTATGTGCTAATTTTCATGAAATTATCTTGAAAATTGCGACCTGTAGAGTGCGCACAAGGTTCACATGGACATACAGACGGATGGACGGACGAACGGACGAACGGACAGACGGTCATAGCTAAATCGACTCAGATTCTTAGCCGATTGGTATACTTTAAGGTGGGTGTAGGACTTTTGGGTGTTACAAACATCAGCACAAACACATAATACCCTACCCACTATAGTGGTGTAGGGTATAATTATATGAAAATAATGTTCTCAAGTTTTCTAATAATATCAATCTAATCAGTATCCTTTTTGATAACCCAAAATTCTCTAGAAAATCGAATCTATGTAATGTCTAAGCCTCCAAATAAATGTGCTTCCAGAGATCTCTTATGTCTAGTTTTTGGGAGACATTTTATGAAATAATAGATCTATTTTAAGAAGTTTCAATAGATTTCATATTTAGAGTCCAACATAGATGGATAGAATAGATTTCATATTTAGAGTCCAACATAGATGGATAGACGGACGTCTTTAAATCGACAAAATTGGATTTTGAATCGATTTTTGTCTTGAATGTTGAACTTCGTAAACAAACCATAGCTGTGCATAGGTTTAAATTTATCCATAGAAATTTGTCATCCATATCTGACTCTTTAGAGAATATATAAAATCTATGTAATATATATTTCAGTCCCCCAAGCAAATGTACTTCCCATATACTCTAATGTATGTATATTTTTTGGGAAACAGTAATAATGGGTCTTTATATAGTAAACATGGATTTGGGTTTTCTGTATATGAGACCAATATTTTCACAAATTTTGCATTATGACACTTTTACAATAAAAACATTTACATGTTAATATATAAACACATACATACATACTGTAGAGATATCTAGAAAAGCTTTTGATTTAATTCCACTTATTATAATTGTTAGCATTTTTCTCTACAATTTTCCTCATTTTCAAACAAAAAAATTTCCTTGAACTCTAATGCTCTTCTATATCTTTTGTTTTATTCTACGAAATCCTTATTCTCTGTATAAGTCCTACATTTCCTTTTTTTAAACAATGTAACATTATTATTATTATTATTTGCTTTTGTGCATATACATACACACATGGCACACACATACAATACATATCACATAAATAAAATAATGTGTATTATTTTATAACTTCTGCATATGGCTCCTTCTCTCCTACTTTTTTTTAAACACACACACACACACGAAACTTTAGTTGAAATCCCTGGATAACAAATAAAAAGGACTAACTTGTTACATAAGTGTATGTAATTGTGCGTATGTGTAAAATTTTGTACTTTATTTAACAGTATAATAAAGAAAAAAGTTTTTCTTTTGTTTTAAATTTTTTTTTCATTTTTTTTTTGTGTTTAATTTTATGAATTTACAGCTGAGAGTATAAAGGCAACAATAACAACTACTAAATACTAGATGAAAGAGTATTTTCACGCACTCATATGTATATATCAACTACAAAATAACAACATCATCAACAACAACAAAAATGTATAAACTTTTATAATGACAACAATGTTTAGTTGAGTAAAACAAGTAGGATTCTTTGTTGTTTCCTTTAGTTTCTTTTTTTTCTCATACTTATATTTATAGTTGTTGTTGTCATAAATTGTTGAGCCATTATGCATCATTTTAGTATCTTTTGTTTGACTGAGTGTTTGTTTCAATGTGAATTAAGAATGTTGCTGTATGTGTGTTTCCGTTTGATGATAATCCAACACTCAAGTTAAAAATTGAGACAACATATGTTGCACAACTAATTTATAATAAAGGACTTTGACAACAACAAACAACAGCAGTAAGAAATGTTAACTTTTTTTTGTCAAAACTCTCTTATAATTTATATAAATGAATAGATAAAGTTTTACTTTGAGAAAATGTTTTTTGTGGAAAATTGACAAGAAATTTTTTTTACTCTTTTTAAGGATTTCTTTAAGAACCTTTTTATTTTAAGTATTTTTTTGTTAGAGTTTACTTTTTAATGAGTACTACTTAACACTATATTTTGATAAAAACAAGAAATTTTGCTAAAGTAAGGAAATATAGTGGGGCATATACGACAATTTGATAACGTACACCAGTTGCAATAATATTTAAAATATAATTTCGGTAGGAATTATAAGTAGATAATGAGCTTTTAAATGGAAGTAACTCTACGAAGTTAAGTCTGTAAGACAAATCGAGAAGTATATTTGTTAGGAGGCTATATAAGGCTATAGATCCATATTAAGTAGAATAAAGAACTGTTCAGAACACTTTGTGCAGTTTTTAAAAGGCAACTTTGACAACATCAACCTTAACAATGACAATAACAAAATGTATTTATAGTTGTAAGCATGCAAGAGTATTTAATTAAAAAGCTCTATTCTTTCAGGAAGTAAATAAAACAAAAAGAATGTTTCAAGTAAAATTATCATTAGCAATTGCTACTAACAACATGCGAATACAAAGTACTATGTAAGTATGTATCTATACATTAAGTATTTATACTATAAACATTAATTTGTAATCAACATTAAAGTAGATGACTTTAAACAGTTCCTTATAATCATCATACAGAAAATGTTTATACTCACACACACATACTGATACATACATACAATTGTACTAAAAGTACCCAGCAATACGGGAAACTATATAAAAATTTGACGTTATATATCATTTATATGATAAATGTAAAATTCTTACAAAAAACACCAAGCAGATGGACTTAATTCTGAGACAATTTTAATACATTAATGTAAATTTACACAATTTTCCCAATCATAATGCTACAGAATAAAAACTCTATTGCATTACTTAATTAAATACCAGTAGACGCAAAAGGAACTACTGTAGCCAAAGGCAGCATTTGTTATTTTTGAAAATCTACAGGGTTACCATTTGTATGCTTGCAATTTTACAAATTTTCATTTTACATACACATTTACAACATGATTTTACGGGTATTTCCTGTGAAATACGTTAAAGGTGTACTTCGTTTGGTTGGTCTTCTATTGACTATAGCTGAATAAAATCATAAAGCAGATAAATTTGAACTATAGTACATGGTAGTAACAGCAGTTATACAAATGTATATTGTGGCTATATTTAGCATTAGATTACATAGTTTATTTCAACACACATAAGAATTAGATGATGTCGAAAATGTACGTGTGTATAGACGAAATTTGTTGGACTACAATTTATGAAGCAATTTAAGTTAATTGCTAAGTAACTCATTTAAATATGTATACATTAATAATCTAACTACGCTCTCTACAGACACACGCATGCCATAAACTTCGTTTGAACGCAGTTTGGGTCTGCAGGATTTTCTACTTATAAAGCTCAAACATATTTGCGCATACACTTATATACATCAGTATGTATATAAGTATATTTAAGTGCAAATACAATATTGCAAATATAGTTTCTGTTATTTGTACCATTCAGCGTGTATGCTTATTTGTATGTATTTAATGAATATAAAGTTTACAGGATGTAAATTCAAATACAAGCTCATGCTTATGACTTTTTACGTTAAGGACAA